CTTACATTTCATGATGGAGCTAATTATTGCGCTCTTTTCATGAAGTTAATGATGGTGCGCTGATCTCCATTTTCATGCCACCAGACACTAGTGCGTTATTTTAAAAGCAGAATCGACAACGGCTTTGTGAAAACCATGATATTAGTCTACTGTTTGCTTTCCACAGCTTTCTACTCATTTATCAGCCTCAGACGGAGGAAAGGCTAGTTACTCTACCAGGGCCTTTACCCGGGACCTCTCGGTTCTGCATCTGACTTTTACAGTTTGAGCAGCCTCATGTATCCTCTGAAGCTGGTCTCAAGTGTGCAATCGAAAGGCGATCCATCAAGTTTGGGTCACAAGCGTGCGAACAACCACGCACAAAGCCGAATCGCCTGCTGCTTTCTCTGTGACCTGTTCGATAATCCCTTCCAAATCAGTTAGTGGAATGCCTCTGAAACAGATGGAGAAGTTCTAGTGCATCGAGACTTTGTTTGAGGGCGACGGAAGATGTTAAGAATAAATTGACTGATGTAAAGGAACAGCGCTGGCATATTTAGCGTGAATCCTCGAGAAGCGCTATTACAACAACAGCAGCAGAGATTACACTTATTGATCATCACATTGAATTATGTAGCTGCCAGGCGGGTCGAGGCGAATTTACAGCGCTAGGAGGTAAAATTAATGCAAAACCTAATCTGAAGTCGAAGCTGCCTGTGTTCAAGTCAAATTTCATTCGCATATGCACCGATTGTCATAAGTCAAAATGACCTGAAAGTTGTGATCGTGGGTGTAGAGGCATCGCAGGGTCTAAGAAGAATCGCAAAGTTTATGCATTTCCACGGAGATCAGAGCTCAACGATCCTGGAAACCCATTTTCAAGTTTCGGTGGCTGTTTTGCGCATAGCTGTTTCGAATATGACTGAAACCGTTCATATTCAGGCCGGCCAGTGCGGCAGCTAAATTGGAGCAGAGTTCTGGAGTGATCTTAAACGAGCATGGTATCGATGCAACGGGAACGTACCACGGCGATTTCGACTTGCGCTTAGAACTCATAGGCTACGTTAGCAAATTAGGTTCTTCGAATGATTCTGGTCAGTGATGGACAGTGTTTGAGCAGGACTGTCTGGATAACTTTTGAAACCCGGTAACTTCGCTTCGCTCAGAACGGCGCTGGCAACAACTGGGCGAAGCGATATTACACGGAAAGTGTCGAATTAGTTGACGGCGTGCTGGACGTCATTCAACAAAAATCATACAACTGCTACTGCCTTCAAGGATTTCAGGTTATTCATTACCTGATGGTGGAACCAGTGGTAGCATGGGAGAGCTACTCATCTTCAAAATTAAGGAAGAATATCAAGATCGAATAATGATGAAAATTTAGCGTCCTTCTTCTGAGTTCTCTGATATGGTTGTGGAGCCATACAGTGCGGCGCTCTGTCTACCAGCTGGTAGAAAATACACAGGAAACTTTCTGCACGGACAACGAAACGCTTTATGACATTTGTTTCTGTACCTTAAAACTTACAATTCTAACTTATGAAGATCTGATGAACCTAGTTTCTGCCACAGTATCTGGGGTGAAAACTTGCTTACGTGTCTCAGGTCAGCTGAACGCCGACTTACGGAAACTAGCCGTTTGCGTGATTCCATTTGCGCGTCTACATTTTTGACGCGAGGCGAAGCCAAGGATACATTTAGAAACACTTACTTTACCAGGACTTACTCAGCAGATGTTCGATGCCAAAAAATGATGGTGCTTGCGATCCTCGTCACGGACGACGTCTCGCCGTAGCAGCAGCATTCCGAGGAAGAATGTCAATGAAGGAAGGTCATAAAAATTTCTGAAAATACACTGTTCGTTAAATTAAGCGTCTCACTTATGTCTATTTACATTAATATCTAGAATTCATCCGGTAAATTATGATTGATTTTTGCAGTTTTTTGTGGCAGAGAATGACAGTACCACTGAGGAGGTCAGGGCTGACTTCAATTTATATGTTGGACGATGACTTGAGCTTGAGTGCTGTTGTTCTTTGAAAAGGCGAAGAACGTAGACGAAAAAAAGAAAAAAACCCTAACAGTGAATTAATTTATCCACTGTCATATAAAGAGGCTACTGTGGTGTAGCAATGAACATTTTCCACCCGTTAATGTGAGGCACACACGATCTGTTGGTGACCACATGTGAAGTCTGGATATGTCACGCAGTATATCACGCTATGGAAGCCGCGGGATCTCAAACAAGACAAAATGGCAATTGCTCTAGCCTGATTTGTCTTTTGCCTGATTTTCGGAAAATTTAATCACTATTTTATGCTGCGTATTAAATACGTAACTGCCAACGATGATAAAGTTGACCTATGTATTATTTATTGAATTGGAAATAGAGTGTTGTTCATCTTTCAAAATATATCTGTCAGAATTGGATTCAATGGCATCTTAAGATATGTCCAGTTTTTTTTATGTTTTTACTTATTATACAGTGTGATTTGTTCACAGATTTCGACATAACAGGGTTCCACACGAGGAAGGTGAGGATCGGGATATTAAGGATGAGGATCGGAATGGTGAAAAGTAAGAATGCTTAGGAGTGGATCGTGAGTGTGAGGATGAGGAGAATGAAATGATTATGTCGAGGATGGTGATAATGAGGAAGACGAGGCTGAAGATAATGAGCATGATATTGAGTATGATGAGGGTTTGGTGTATGGGGATGTTGAGGATGAAGTATTTGAAGACGAAGATGAGGAGGAGGATGAATGTTAAGGACATAAAGATGGTGAAAAGAATGTTTTGGCGATGAGGATGGCGAGTGTTAGGATAGTGAGGATGAACATGGTAAGGATGCATTGGAATAAGGATGGAAAGGATGAAGGTGACGAGGAGGATGGTGAGGATAAGGTTGATGAGGATTAATTAGTTATAAATCATGAAAAAATTTTTTCTGTTCGTTGAATTTCAGTTTAACCAGACTTTACTCTCCAATTTGCATGGGACCGCGCTGAGTGGTTCTAGTCAGTTCTTTTCTGCTATGACTTAGTTATGACTGAAAGTATTCTCTTCAAGAATGCGCCAGATGTGGCGAATTGACATAATGAACAACTATTGCGAATCTCTCAGAATGGCCATAAAACCAATGAACAGATGGTTCAGAACCTTTGTTCATAGCCTTTCTGTCTGTTTCTGAAGATCCAGTGTAAGATATGATATCCATGTAACAAAATATAACTTCGACCATCTGGAATGCGCTACACTGAAGGCGCCAAGCAATGGACGTAAATAAATAGAAGTTGACTGTTGAACATGTATTTCTTGGCCTGATTCGAAATTCACGTATCGAAGCAAAGTTTTTTTGGGAGCGTGTTTACGAAACATCTTTGTATAGATAGCCACGACGGTGAAGCAACTAGTGATGGTGAAGAAGACTGCTCTACCTCGGATAGCTTATCTTTTGCTAATCGTTTGAAAGCTCCTAATGGTAGATTCTTATAAATTGCGTTTTTTTATGTTCGCAACTTTATATTCAGATTTGAAACTATTTACCGTGCCTCCGCGACTGGATCACGGAGTCGATATAGAACCACGCTCTCTGTGTGATTTCAAAATTGATGTTGGAGATGAAATTTTGGACAGCTTGCAGTTACCTGACTACAGCGCTGAAACTGAAAACGATGATAATATAATTCAGGAATCTTCAAATTCTGATGTATTTGTTTTTTGTCAATTTTAAAATCTTACCCATTCGTTGTAGGCTGTTTCATCGGAGTTTCACCAAGCCGTGGAAGATAAATCTTTTCTCAAAACGGTAACAGAAGTAGGTAGATTTTTCTCATACGTTTATGATGAATCTGTTGGCGACTGCTTTTACTAGCTTTGCTTTTAATGACGACCACTTATATTTTCCCTAATCTCTAGCGATTCCTGCTAGTTATCAGTTTTTTTAGCTGCTTCCTAAAAAGCGTTGAGTACAGCCATATGTTTGTTTGCTTAGGTCATCAGCGTTGCACCGACTGCGTAATCGGAACACCTTTGGTTTGTTTGTCCTCTATATTCGCAGCTTTTGAACATTTTTACTCTAGGGCATCAGCTACTGTACAGTAGAAGTACGTACTCCTTTCTGAAAGCAGGCCTATCTGTATTTTTTCTTGTATGTTGCATGCTAATTTCTGGTCGGCTCCCATACGAGAAGCTAGCGGGCTTGAATAAATGGTTCATGCTCGACCAGTTTTTCTAACAGGGCCAACCTCTTTTTCTTGATACCGCATCTACTGAGGTCGCCTGTTCGCGAAAGAGAACAGAATCATTCCTGATATGGTCTTGCTTTTTTATTTTCATTATATATCGAAGCTAACGCTGCTGTGTGCAGTTCAGTTGTTGTTCTTGTTTTTAAGAACAACTCACAGTCTATAACCGTAATGTTCAGCAAAGCGAAGATCAATTTTGATCGTGGGAGGTGTCTTAGAGATAAAACTCCCAAAGATGAACTAGCCTGGTTTAAATTTAGATTCATGCTTTGTTGAAATTATGAAACTGTTTTCCACTCTATTTAATGTAGATTATATAAAATTTATACCGATTATGTATATTTATTTGCTACTGATTTACTCTTTACCACCGTTAAATGCTATGCAACGTCTGCAAAGACATTTCTTATCATAGTGGTAAACCACTAGCGGTGGGTGTTAAAATTATTGGGTTACCCTGCGTTTGGGTAGGTAGTTTTCTCTAGCGGGTTTGTAGCTCCACTTGCAGAAAAACCATGTGAACGTAAATTTCGCTGCAAAGCAGTTTATGGCACCAAAATTAGGTAAGTAAAAGACCTTACACAGCGAATGTTGTATAGAGCGATTACCTACAATTGCAGTTTTTGATACTGCCAGTCGAAACAATATCCTATTGCTTCACCTTATTCTCACGGCTTATTCATATTGTTCCCTTACTTTCAGATGCCTAAGGGACATTTTAGCAGGCGCCACAGCTCCGTGATATTTGAACATCTGCAAGCATTATTGGCAGTCGCCCAGAATATGAAGTTCATTCGCTGCCTGTATATGCGCGAACGGATTGTGATATTTCAGTTGGTGTATGAGCGGCGTTTGCTCAGTTCAGATCCAGTTGTGTTCGAGCACGCGTTTATTTCAGCTTAACATGGTGATACTGTATGAAATCTCTGCACTGTAGGTGCTCAAATACCGTGGAACTGTGATCTGCTGAAAAATTTCCCATGCGAATATATCGTGATCATCTGATGAAGGGACAGAAAAACGAATTGTCGCATATGGGACTCACTGAATGATTAGAGCCGAACGAGTGAGCTAAATTCAGCTGGTCGCCTATGTATCCATGTGCCTGTTCTTTCTCCAAGGTCCGCATTCCGCCATTAGCGCTTCTGAAATTAGCGACATTTGCTTTCCCCAATTGTCTTCTTTTTGAACTAGTTGAGTTAAATCCCACTAGAGGCGATATTGCGGTATCTTTACGATATTACGCTCCTCATTGGCTGAACCTTTTCCTTCTGCTCTGCTAAAAGATGCCGTTCTAGTACTCTTGTTCCGTTCTGGAGCTTCCTTGTTATCTTGCTGTTGTAGCTTTATCCACGTGTACATATATGGCGGTATTTAACCCGCATGTCTCGTGCTTTTTTAATATCTCCTTCATGTATGTGAGATTTTCACGAGTTTTCGCTCGGATCTGTTTACCTCTCTTATGTCTAACGTCGTAATGCATCGTTTCGTTCTTTCGTTAAAGTTTCTTTGATAAGAAGCACAGACTGAAGACAATTTCAAGTATTCTTTTGGTGTGGTCCTGGTGAACATTAATTATCCCCCGTTTTCCCACGACTTTGCATGACTATTCCTGAACGAAGGCGTCTAGGTAGCTGCTGCAACTTGCATCACATTTCGTTGTACCAAATCGTGTTTGGGTCTGTTCGGCGGTTCTGAAGTTCTAGTTGTGTCGGTCGACCAGTATTCAGCAGTTACGTAGACTGCGCCGGTCGCAATACCTCGTCCGTTCTCTCTCGTCTGTTCCTACTTTCCTCTGCCACTATGACCATTGTATGCATTCCATTTAAGATTTTATGAGGGCGACAAGTTCCGGGTATTGTCGACGATAGCCACTGCCGCTGGTGGTCATGGAATTGAGCTACAGATTCAGCCCATCGCATTTTGCTCTCCTTGTTTTCAGTTGTGGAATATTTCACTGGTTTTATGCCCGACTTTTTCCCAGGGATGTAACTGCAGGCATTAATTTTATGGGTCAGGTATACGTAGCACTCTTTCTTTTGTATAGGTTATCACTAACGTTGGTGGGGTCTTCTTCTGAGTCTGATTGCTTGCGTTTAGTCTTCGACCTACCGGTTTTTTATCTGGAATTGCCGCTCTTTTATCGAGTTTTTCAGTAAATCATACAGTTGGGCCATACTTTTCGCGATCAGCACAGCATCACCAGCGAAACTCAGATGACTCAATTGCCATTCGATGACCTTTTTCCTCATATCCCGTTTATCCGCCGGACCCATCAGTCTGTGAATAGCATATGTTTTCCTTTTACACTGATACTGGAGTAGCTTGACGCGGACGGAATTCTTTCTTTTCTCGCAAACAGAAAAAATGTTACTTTTAGTTTGCAGTTTATGCCGTGTAAAAAGTTTGTATCAGGCGCTGAAAGTTAATGCTTTACGGCGGCAAAATCAGAATGGTGCCATTCTAGATAGCTGTCTCATGCCATCGGGGTTATATTCGAATACGGTTGGTGCTCGAATGTGCTCTTGTTCTACCCATCAGTGGCACAATGTATTTGCCCTATGCGTTGCTGGTGCTTAAATACCATGAAGCCGTGACCCGCTTAAATTTTCCTCCTAGGCGACTAGAAATATGGAAGCGGTGTAGTACTGCGGTACAACCTACTGTAAAAACTGCATCTGTTATACACTACCGCAGTATTTCTTAACGTAAATGATTGTAGATTACAGTTTAAGTTCGGCAGTACTGTTAAAATGATAGAAAGTTACTTTGCAATAACATATAGGGCGACTAAAGACTCACGAGAAGTACCACCTCTAACAGGAAATTCAGGATAAGCTCGACAGGCTGATACGTCGACATCCGACTGTCCCCTTACAGTCGCTTCAACTCATTGTCCATGTTTTTTTGCTATTTGGTCTCTGACTGAATGTTCACATATTTACGGCGATCAATAAATTTGACATCTACAGTTAGTTTCGAACTTCTAACTTTCAACTTAAAAGGTCAGTGATATAATTTTGATGTCACAACTCGGCTAGTAAATTTTCCGCTGCAAATAAATCGAGATTCGGTATACAGTAAATTTTTTCGTCGTTGTTCAATCTCACTTTTTCGATTATGCGTAGATTACGTTTTTCTAAGTCCACTTTTTTGTTTTCAGAAAAACATCGTCATTGAACTACAGCATGCAACAAAACAGTCAGTTTCGCATGATCTCGAGTATGAATGGTCAGTGTCTGCTGCGGGATCCGTTGATGACTTCAAAACCAGAGTTCCTCATCCTGCCTTGACGGTAATTGCCGAGCTGGCATCAGTTTTCTACTGACTGCCAGGTTTTGTGCTTAGTACCCGTTCGAACTTGACACCTTTCAAAAGCAGGCCATTGTTCATCTGGAAGCGGATGACACGGTGTTGGTATGCGCACACACATCTGCCGGTAAAACGGTGATCGCAGAATATGCTATTGCTTTATGCAAAAGTCACTTAACAAAGTAAAGTTGATTTACTATATAGTGAGAAAGGACATGATTCTTAACAAGACATCCTTTAATATTCTCTTCTGCCATTGACAATCGGTTGTTAAAGTTTCTGGTCATCATACTGAACCAGGGCGATTATTTTTCTGAAGCCGCAAGGGATTGATTAGACCAAAATTAAACCAAGAATGCCGAAGTTAATTCCGGGTACTTTTTTGTGATGAAAGAACCGAGTCATGCATATGCAAGTATAGTTTTTGAGTGAATGCAGTAGGTGAAAATTCGGTTTCCCTTTCTTTCGTTCCGGAGGGCCCCGAGTTTTCAGTTTACCAAAACTATTTAACGTATAGTTGCCGAACTTATGCCTGCTATCCAAGGACTTTTCCTGTGCGAATGATGTTTATGCTTTTTAGGGTAGTTTATACGTCACCGATTAAAGCTTTGTCAAATCAGAAATACAGGGATTTCAAAAAAGAATTTGGCAACGTCGGCATAATCACCGGTGATGTGCAACTTAACGTTGAGGGGTTCTGTTTAGTAATGACTACTGAAATTCTCAGGTATTCTGCGACGGTTGACTTGCACGCCATTTGAAAAATGCGCGTTCATTTTAGGATGATGTTGTACAATGGCTCCGATTTGATCAGGGAATTGGAATGGGTTATTTTTGACGAAGTGCACTATATCAATGATCACGATGTATGTATGTTTGTGGTTATATGATTCTTCTGTATGTGCCATTTATTATTGCTCTTATTATTAATAATATCATCTACTTCTAGATAATTTAAGCATCAAACTGCACAGCTCTTTCAGAGTTTTATTTATCCTAAATTTACAGGTGTCTGTGAATTTTCGTGGCTGAGTTTTACGTAGACCATTTTGAAATTGCAGCACGTAGCCACCATCTTTACGATATTATGCTTTTCCTTTATTTTCATTGCGCAGATAATATTTTCTGTTGCAGAAAACTAATTATCTTAGTTTCTGTTAAATTATTTAAAATGACGTGTAATAACGGCCGTCTTTGATTTATATCAGAAACAGAACACGTTTTTTGACATTTACATTCAACGTTAAATTCATGGCACATTCACATTTTCGATTTATGACTCTTATCACTGTAATCAGTACCTCTTCCTACACTGCTTGCTCAGTTATATTCATGTGCAGTCTATGCTACAATACTGATCAGATTCATTTGCAAGAAACTACCCTTGCTTATAGTACTTTCCAAAGCAGCGAATATCATGATAATTTCTGGTCTCT